GGATTTTGGTTGGTTAGTGAGTGAGCTCTAGTCTGGCCAGCTGAACTGCGGTGTGAATTTATGGTGTGCTCACTCTGCACCCACAGTGACTCCCCACACCTAAAGGTGACTTTCCAGTGTAGGCACATTAGTCCAGAGCATCTGGCATGGTCTTCCTTTGGCTCCTAAGGGCTCAGTGTATGCATCTCCTGCAGAAGGGCCTGTCCCTCTCTGTGACTTCCAAGTACATGGGACTGCTACAGTCCCAATTTGAGCACTTCAATTTTGTGCCTAAAATAGGTGGGATGAGCCAGGGCAAATCTGCTGTGTTGGTAATTCCCTTCCCTGAGAGGGGGGCCTTAGCTGGTTTGGGGTTCTCTTTTTTAATCTCGGGCTGTGATAACTTACACCAAGATGAGACGCTTTCCCACCTGTGAACCTTCGCTCTTCCAGCACAGATGAATTCCTGGGCCCTTTCAGAGAGCCCTTACGTTCGATCCTTTGGAAGATCAGTGAGCAAGTTTGTTAATAAAACCATCAGCCTGACCAGACAGGCTCGACACTGGTTTTTCCTGCATTTTATAAGAGCAAGAAAAACATAGTTTCAGAAAGTGGTTACCAATTTTAAATGAGTAACAACATAATTTGCTGACCAACCAAGTGGTTGAAGAAATGTGGGTAGGCAAGTCATTATTTTTTACATCAAAGTTTGGAGTTAGAAGTCTTAAAATATTTTAAAGACCACTTCAGTCTCTTGCTAATTAAACAACCCTGACCTTTCGTGAAATGCCATAGGCACTAGTGTGCATATGGAATTTACACAGGCTATCAGAAGTTTAACATGTGCTGCTTTAGTGAATAATGTTACAATTCAAAATGAAGAGAGATTTTCTGCTAGTGATGTATCTGAGGCTTTAAAGAAAAACCTATTCTGTGAATAATTGTTGAGGCAAAAGTTTCCTTTAGGGTAGTCTGAGCGTCAGAAATTAAACTCAGTCTGACTGCATAGACTTTTGGCTGAATGTAATTATTTGTGCTTGTTGGTATCAGGAGACAAAAATAATACACTTCTTGAGATGTTGAAATGAGTAAAAGGGTGCAAAAAATTCTATTCTCTTTCTCCAAGTAATGGCTTAAGCACATACGGTACCCAAATAGGGAACCTGCACTTCAAATTCAAACCTATTCTGGGAGGCTCTCTGCTTAAAAAAAAATACTGTTTTGTTGCTTGATGGAAGTCTTTGGATTCCGGTCCTTTATTGTCTTTTATTGTAATGTAAGATATATATAGCTTTGGTAAATACTCTTTAAGTCTCCCCGTTATCAGTTTCTTACTTAATTTTTAAAATGCAAATAGTCATCCCCTTTACAGGATTTGGAAGATTTCTCTTTATTTTCATAACAGAGGAGGTTTTAGGTCTGTCACTTATTTTGCCTTCATTTGTGAATTGAGGCCATATAAATTTCATTACCCAATTAAAGCAAATTTATTGAGTATCTAAAAAGACCTATGATGAGATTTTATGCTTTAAGTGTTCCTGAAATACTGGAGATTTGCTGGGAAAAAACAGAAAAGATTGTGGAGTTTCATTGCTCCAGCAGTGCATTTTCACGAATGTGTGTTATGTTCCTGCAGAGATCCAGCTGCAGGTTGAACCCCAGAGATAGAACAGAATTTAGTAATAGCGTTGTGAGCTTTTAAGTTCAAAAATCTGCCAAGCAATAAGAAGCTCTTGTAATCTTTTATTTTCCAAAGAGGAAAGAATCTTTCCCTTTTCAGATTTTTACAGAATGACTACTGCTTCTGCAGACACAGTATATGTTTAACTTTATCCTCAGAAGCAGACTGAGCAGATATGTGAGTTTGATAAAGACATTTCCAAAATTAGCCCTGATTTTACAAAACATGAGCTTAGTTCAGCATTCTGTGAAGTCCTTTTGACTTTAATTCACTGTGAGCAAAATAAAGCATGTTTATGGGTCTGAGCAGGGCAGAGAGCTTTGATTTATTTCTTCCAAAAAGTAATTGAGATTAAAACACTCTCCTTATGTGTGTTCAGTATTTTTTTATTGGACATCTTAAGCAAAATTACAGCATTGCTGTGCTCTGCATGGAAGATAGCTCAGTGGATTAATGGTTCGAATCCCAGGTTACAGCTCTCATGCTGGGTTCAACCTTGAGGTGGATTTTTCTTTGCTGAGAGAAATAGATTGTTAGGCTTAGTGAACTTTGCAACTGATGATAATTGCTGTGATGAAATGGGCTGCACCTTTGCTTCATGTATTGGGGAAAAAAGCCCTAAGCTGGCACAAAAACTAGAATGAAAGCTCTCGCTCAGGTGAGGGTCGAAAATGATGTCTGGAATTTATAAGGAGCTGCTATTCAGTTGTGCCATTGCAAAACTGCCTCTGTCAGAGCTGATTCCTGGGACCCAGGAAAGTCCACTGCATCCCACTGAACGTTCCTGACTTGAGAGCAGCCTGAGTGACAAACACAAGTTTAATTTTTTTCCTTTTCTTTTTTCTGAGTTTCTTGAGAGGAGAAGGGAGGCGAGAGAGAGAAGGGATCCACAGTAATTTTGCCTGTGTGATCCGTTGCAGGAGTAGAATTTGGAGTACAAACTAGATTGAGCTTTTAAAAAGCAGGATGATTTTTCAAATATTTTGCTTGGCAAAGCAGGCTGCTTCCAGAAAAGGTATGTGCTCTTTCCTCTCTTTGCCACACTGATCAGAGAAAATACCCAGATGTCCATGTGAAATCCTGTTCACAGGGTTACTCTACCAGCAGTGCTGGATTTTTGTTCCATGAGTAGGAAACCCTGTGAGAGCTGACAGTCTTTTGAAAGTTTCTCAGCATTTCTGTAAGAGTTATAAACTGTGGGCTAACAAGCAGTCTAACCTGAAAGTGCTGGAAACCTCAGAGAGCATCCTTTGTGGTTTTCACTTCTGTGCACCAGTTTTCCTCTGTCACACTGTAAATCTGGGCTGGCTCTATCTGCTGAAGTGAATGGGTTTAAACGGATCAAAGCAAGAGTGGGATTTTTCAGGACGAGGATAGTTTTTGAATGTCAAGCGTTACACATAGGACAGGTTGGACCAGAGCTCTTGACAGTATTAATGTGGTGTATGTGTGTGAGGAGATATAAAACAATCCTCTGGACTAGGATGTCTCAACAGACCCCTGAGAATTCAGGCTGCTTTAACAGTGCTAACCGGTGATGTATTTGCAGCGTACCTGGTTTGATTGCTTTTAAGGACTAAACTTTGACTACTGTATGGCATGCAATATGTAATGTTTCTTTCCTTTCCCAACCGCTTTCTATTACATGCCCAGGGTTTAGACCGCTCCAATTCCTGGGTAAACACTGGTGGTCCAAAAGCAGCCCCATGGGGATCCAACCCCAGCCCAAGTGCAGAGTCAACACAGGTGGTGTCTTCGGTAGAGGTTTTTCTGGCTTTGTTTCCCTGGTGTTTCTCTGTAGAATATCTTCCTTTTGGTGTATACTCCAATTTTGGTGGTTTGTTTGTTTTTTTTTTATTATTATTTGTTTATTCCTTGAAAACTTTGTGAGTTTTATTTTATAAATTACCATCTTCTCCCCCACCACCTCACCACACTGCATGAAAAACCTCAAAATGCGTGAACGTGTCCCCTTCTTTCATTTCAGTGGTTGCTGGTCTGTGAAATGTAAACGCTGTGACTGCTTTTCTTTTCTCTTCTCTCCCTCTCGCTCTAACACTAGTTTCAGCTTCAGGTGGAGCACATTTCTAAGTGGGAACATTAATCACAGCTTCATATTTTGTCCATGTTTGCCATTTCTTTTGATGTTGTGAACCATTTTGCCATTTTCATCAAGCATTTAGTATTCATAGTCAAGTAATCCTTCATGACTGTTTGAGTGGAATATTGTTAAATCAAAATTGGTATACATGTAAAATTCTCTTTTAAGACATGTAAATTTGAGTGCTGGAACCAGTTACTTGCTAGGGTCAATTTTTTCTGTTCTGTGTTGCAAAGTATGAAAACTTTACAGCAGCTTCAGTCAGAAAGACTTAACTTATTTAGCCCCCATTGCCTGCTGCTTTCCACTGCATGATTGCCTTGAACGTACCTCTCAACTGTACCTCCTTTCACGTTTATCAGTATTCCAGAAATATTTAGTCTGAGTTCACTTGCACTCATAGCAAATTACTTCCTTCAGAAACAGAACTTCGGTAATTTTCTCATTCCCTGTGCCAGTAGTAGCATTGCTGTGGGTTACATCCCCACGTGCTTGGTCTCTGGTAGATTGAGAGGTATGGACTGAAATTACAAGTATTACCTCCTTTATGTATGCATGTTGATACAATACAATGATGAAAAAGTTTCATGCTTTGCAGCATTAAGTGTCTTTGTGCATAAGAACATGCAGTTATTTAAATACTCTGTATGTCTTAAAACAATAAAAAGTACTGTCATTTTGTTTAAGCCAGATCTGTAAATGAATAAGAGTTTGAGAATGCATAAAAAGGTGTAAAGACAGTAAAAGCCTACAGTTGGAACAGTATTTTTGTAAACATACGTTGTCCTTGAGCTGCAAAACCCATCCACAGCAAACTTTAATGTCCTGTCATCATTCATTCATCTCCACTCCGTAGGCTACGGATCGAAGTTGTAATCGTATGTCTTCGCACACTGAGACGTCAAGTTTCTTACAAACATTAACAGGACGATTACCAACTAAAAAGGTAGATTTCAGTGAAGACAATTGATATCGTGGGGCAGGGAGGTCAAGTCATTCTGAAAACATGATGCAATCTATTCTTTTATTTATAGCCTGATTTTTTCCGAGGTCATTAGGAACTGTTGTTTCTTACCACCTCTGAATATCCAGGCTGTAGTGAATATGAAGTATTCTGACAGAGTTGAATTGGGAAGAATGAAATGATCAGGAGTAGGTTGTCTGATTTAATGTCCGTACTGTTTGGAGCCAGTTTGTTACTGCCTTTCAAAAAATACGAATAGCACTGTCTAGACATGTAAATGATACATTTGTGTGTGCAAAATTGTAATGCGTTAGATGGCTAGTTTATGGATGTGTGCTGAACTCAGTTCTATAGGTGTTAATCCAAAGTGACTCCAGAAAGTGAATGGGAGGTGCTTTGGAAGCGCACTCCCTTGCAGAAGATGAGATCCTACTAACCAATGTCAGAAAAGCAAAATGCCTGACTTTTTGTGTAATGAAAATGTGATCACTGACAACATCCAGTCTGTGGGTTGGTCTTCCCAAGAAAAGAAATCAAAAAGCTGTTTCTTAGCCCCATGTTTCCTCCTTACTGTTTTAAGTCCTTTCTCACAGTAATATACATCTTTGTACAAATCGCTTTATATGTCCACTTTTTACTCCTTTTTCCTGCGAAAATCAGACCAGGCAGAAAGGTAGACTTTTAAACTAAACTAATTTGAGCACCAAACTTCTTATTTTTTTGGGTGGGTGGAAAATTCTTTCAACACTTGAAATTCAATTTTGGAGCGAGATGCTGTGAAACGTTTCTCACATCACATATCATAACATCACCCTTCATTGTTAGTTGGGGATTTCTTTAAGGGATGCCACCACCGCTGTCATATTCCCAGTTATTTATTTTGCTTAACCTCATTGTTTGCCATACTTTCCATGGACCGCGCTATCATTTCTCATGCGGACTGTTTTGTGAACTGATCTTGAGGCTCAGGCTAACTCTGGATTTGAATCTGTGTAGCTTTTTCACGAAGAGCTGGCCTTACAGTGGGTTGTGTGCAGTGGGAGTGTGCGAGAGGCAGCCCTACAGCAGGCCTGGTTCTTCTTCGAGCTGATGGTGAGCAAACTGGAAACACCTTGCTTATTGTCTTACAATTCATCGTTTAAAACATAAACAGCAAGTGACTTTGTTGTAATTTATATTCCTATAGGTGAAGAGCATGGTGCATCATTTGTATTTTGCTGACAAACTGGATGCGCCAAGAAAGAATCGTTTTCCTGAGCGTTTCATGGATGATGTAACTGCTTTGGTCAGCACAATTGCCGGTGATATAGTCTCTCGGTTTCAGAAGGTAATGGCAAACAATTAAACTGAGCCGTGGTCAGAGCTCGGGCACCAGACCTGCATGTTTGCTGGTGCCTAGACCAGGAATTGTTGTTTGAAAACATACAGTGTTCTCTTCTTCATTTTCTTTCCCATTTTTCTCTTCCTTCTGTCTAGGATACAGAAATGGTGGAAAGGCTCAATACCAGTCTTGCATTTTTCCTCAATGACCTGTTGTCTATCATGGACAGAGGATTTGTTTTTGCTCTTATTAAGACCTGCTACAAACAGGTGAATGTAGATAAATATTATGACTTAACTCTGAACCATAGCATAGCCTATTACTCTAACTTTCTTTGGACAGAGAGTAAAGCATGGACACAGAATTCTACTTTTCAGGTATTCTCAGAGCAAGCAAAGCATCCTCAGTGGTGATTTAGAGTTTACACCCTGCTGATTACACCCTTAAATGTGAATTGGGAGTAACTCCCTTTAGTGAATGGACGTGCAGCAGGAAGGAAGTAATTATTCCCTCTGTTCACCACGTTCAGAGTAATTGAACCAAAAATTAGTAGGAGGTTTTGTGAGGTAGCTCAGACTATCATGGTTTGTGAGCAGGTCTCTCAAGGACACACTGACTCTGTGTGATCATATTGATCACCAAGCTCCCCTTCCATCCTTATGAGGATGCAAGGTCTCCTCCCCATGAGGAGGGTTCCTATGTTGTGCAGTGGGAAGCTTCTTTGCAGTGTTGTGGCAGGGAAATCACCTTGAACCACAAAGTTTCATTTGACTACAAACATCAATGCTGACACTGTGTACAAAGGAGATGACAAGGTATCAGGAGCTTAGGCTTAGACTCGTTTTTGCTGCAGAGTCTAAAACTACAAAAAAAAATTTTATATAAGGGGCAAGAACAAGCAATAGCATTTGAGCTTTGCTGCCTACTGTATATAGCCAACCTGCATCTTTGACCTGTTAATGCATCACACTGTGTGGTCCGGCTTCTCACAACTCTCTACTGAAATCAATAGGATGTGGCGATCATATGTGAAGTATATAGCTCTTCATTTGCTTATGTAAATATGGCCATTATATACAACTTGTATTGATATATGTGCCGTTGGCTGGGATGTGTGTGGCTCCTGCACATCAGAAGTTTAACCTGTAGCACAAAGAAGGGATGTGGATGTGACCATTTAATGATATCAAGTTCTTCAGTTCTTGCTTTGGAAGTGTTTTTGGGGGGCTGGTGCTGTGTTTATACTCTCTTTTGGTGCTAACTGCAATCTTACGGGCTAAACTTGCCAGGTGTCTTCAAAGCTGTATTCCTTAACAAACCCAAGTAACCTGGCATCTTTGAGGCTGGATTTCCTTCGCATCATTTGCAGCCATGAACACTACGTCACCTTGAATTTACCCTGCAGCTTGCTCACACCACCTGCATCTCCGTCACCATCTGTATCTTCAGCAACTTCTCAGGTATGCTGTGACAAGGATCCTTTGTGGAAATGCAAGCTGAGCTTCGTTCTGAGACTTAAATCATTTGAGGCAATTGTATCACCTGTATTTTCAGTCTCTGCTTGCTAATATTTTTGGGAAGTGTTTATTTAGAAATTAGTTTTTCCTGCCATATAGGTTTTGACTTCTTTTGATCTTTTATTATTGAAAAAGAATGCCCACATGCCTATACTCATCATGACCACACATATTTCTGTCCTTAGGGACCAAGTCCCCTCTTACACTGGAGAAATGCATGAACATAAATAAGCCATTAAAGAAAACGCTTTGTCCAGTGTTACCCTTTTCTTACAAAACAAGGGTCTTCCTAGCACACTGTAGCTTAGTCTTAGCCTGCTCAGAAAAAGTAATTTGAATTGGCCAGTGTGTCATTCAAGTGGATTAATTAGTTGGAAAATTACGTAAACTAAATCAAATTAAAGCCTTCTTAAGCTTGAATAAGAGCATCTGTACCTGAGTTAAAAATTTAACTAATCCACTTGTAAAGGTTATTTGGCTTAACTTCCCTAAGGCCTGCCCTATGGACAGGAAGACAATAACACCAAGCAGAATTAATAGAAGAGTTAGTGAGCTTGGATGTAATGTAAGTAGATGTGCCTGGATCCAAACAAAAAAGGGAAAAGGCAGTTTATGTGAAATTGTCTTTAATTCTGAAAACTGCTTCTAATGTATTTGATAAGCTTTGACTCCATGTTCCAAGGGGCCTCATTATGCAATTTCTGAAACTTGATTTTTTCACAGAGTTCTGGGTTCTCCACAAATGTCCAAGACCAGAAGATTGCAAATATGTTTGAGTTGTCTGTGCCTTTCCGCCAACAGCATTACTTGGCCGGGCTTGTGTTGACAGAACTGGCTGTCATTTTAGATCCTGATGCAGAAGGGTAAATCTTTACCATTTTTTTTCCCCAAGAGTTTTCGTAATTCCAAGGAAATGGTGGATGTAAAGCAAGTTCTGGCGTGGCCAGAATTGATTTAAATTTCTAAGCTGAGAAGATAAGAAACTATTTTTTTCAAGAATACTCTTCTTTCTCCCTACCCCTCATATTTCTTACTTCCTTAGCCGTGACTCTGTAAACATCATTTCACTCACATTTTTCCAGCTGAGAAAAAGGGAAAGGAGTTCCTGCTGGAGCCTCCAGCTGCCACAGGGGCACTGCTGGAGCTCTAAGAGGAAAATAGCTTTTCTCAACTGGAACAAGAAAATAATTTTCAACATTTAGGAAGTCTCTGTTGCTGGTGGTTTTAAACGTTACAATGTATTTTGCCTGTGGCCCTCCCAGCTCTTTTAAAACATAAATTATGCATTGATGAGGCCCCTGGGGGTTACATAAATAGACAAATAAGAGTCAAGCATGCAGGGTTTGTTGGTGACTTGTCTGGCTTGTGCAGCAGATAATTTTTTGAAGTAGGAGTGTAGCCTGTAGCCCTGCCATCCAGTCTCTTGTGTTATTTAGGGCTGTGTTCTGCCTTGCCTCTTTAAAATGGGTTTCAATGGAAATTATTGATTGCTTCCATAGTCCTAAGTTCTCTTGCAGGCATTTTTTCTCAAGGTGGACTCAGAAATTTCAGCCGAGTCGACAAATGCTGATGATTCATGGTTAATTCTGCCCCTTTACCAAGAGGTCTCAGGAGTTAAACATTCATTCTGTTTCCTGTGGGAGAAGAAAGTGATGGCATAAATTAGAGTATTTTCTTGTGTATGTACATAACAGACTGCATTCCCATTTGTTTGGCCTGAAATGGAAAAAGCAGCAAATATTTACCCATATACACTGTCCGCAGAAATCCCTCTTCTAGCATAGGAACATTCTGCTCACTGGTTGGGAATCGGGTCCTGTCTCTGACCATGTTTGCCCTTGTTCTTCACAGACTTTCTGTTCTCACCTACTTGCCTTTTGAGCTCTCTCACCTTGCTATTCTCAGCAGTTAGGCCTGGACCAGGATCGTAACCTCTGCCCAGCTGCACACAGGAGCTATCAGCATGATCTTGCTGGTGTCCTCAGGAGAGACAGCTCCTCTCTCAAACCCTGTCTAGACAAAAAAAGCCCACTGATACCAGTTCAGCTCTGGAGATGGCTTTTGATCAAAGCTCCTGAATTTTGGTGGGGTTGTGTACCAGTAATGCGTTTGTTTGTTATTATTTTCCAGAATGACTTGTAGTTTGCTGCTTCTTAGCTATTCTCAGGCTTAAATGTTCTGCCTTTGCCCTGGTATATCCACCATGTAAAGGAAACCAATCTGTTCAGATCTGCTCTTCCCGTGCCTATGAAGATTTCTAATCGATAGTATCATCAGCAGGTTATTAGTAGAGGGCTCAGACATGCTTCCCATTAAAAGGTTTTGATCACCCTTGAAAAAACCTCAGAGTTGTTCCTGGTTGCATTATCCTGCAGCAGGAGTGGAGTGGGATGCCCATCTAGTTGTTTACTGTGTTAAAGCTTTGCCTTAGGTCTTCATAGCTGATACAGAACCTTAAATCTGTTCTGTCCTTGCTCTTTTTGCTCCATTAGCAAAATATGTTGAATTTCAGCTCACTCTTTGGATTGAGTTGGACAGAAAAGCCTGCAGTACCCTGGTGCGTTAGATAGATCCCTTTGTGCTAGGTGCTGTACAGTAGCACGGTACATCACAGTCCTCCTGCAGAGCACTTGCAGTCTAAAAGACAATACAACGTGCAGATGAAGGAAGCCAGCTGAATGCGACGGTTACAGAGGGTGAGTCCAAGCAGCTAGACCCTGAGGAGATTGTCTCTGCAAACAGTGCTGTGGTGCTTTGGTTATTAATTCAGAATAATTATTGTTGCTCATTTCATAGTGCCCGTGTTGCCCATATTGACTGATGTTACAGAACAGAAGTGAGAAAATTGGTATTTGGCCCTCAGTATTCAGTGGCAAAAGTCAGATTTCCAAAAGTGTGCAGTGTTGACACAAATTCAGGCCAGGGCTGAGATAACAGCGGGGACGGTTGGAGGGCAGCAAGATCAATTCATTGCATTATCAGCCAGAATGATTAAGTGGGCTGTATTTCCTCCTCTTCACTATGGATCGATCCACCATGCTACCTGCTGTGTTCTGGAAAAGTGAAAAAGAAATCCACGTAGCCCTGGGTTTGAATTATGCTGCTTTGTTTAGATGTGTTTTCCCCATATGCAGGATATTTTCCCTTGTTAGAAACACAACTTAGGTGCCACTCCTTCAAAATACTACAAAGACTTTTCCTTAACCTTAATCTGAAGGAACCAGTCACTTAAATAAGCATTTCCTTCCTCGTTGTTAAGAGTCTCACTAATTACACAAACAAGCAATTGGAGGATCTCATTACGGATTGATTGAAAACCGCAGGAAAGAGGGGTAGCTACAGCTAGCTAATGTCCTCCTAAGCTGTGCTGGTGTCTTACCAATCATTTGAAACCCCCAAGAATCCAGTCGAGCCTCTTGTCTTTTTTAACCAGAACTCAACTCTACTTTTCAGGTAAAGTGGATACTGCCTGAAATTCAGCTCTTGTTTTAATACCTCAGGTCTGGACGTTGAAGCTTATGTTTTGCTAATGCACAATGTATGAGCTTCCTTGGCTGCTTCATGCATGGGGTAAAGTTGTCTTCTTGGCCTGGTTTGCCTACAGAAGCAAATAGCTACAGAGATACCTGCTATTTGCTCTGAGGGAGTTTTGCCTCTGTGTGGTGGCTGAGGGAATTGAAAGGAGCAGAGCGAGTTCTTGAGAGATTCAGGGGATTTTGCGTTTTCAAGGCATGAGCACAGAGTAGGCTCACGCAGCCCTGCAAAAGGGGATGGTGCTTGGGCACTGCCATCGTTTGCGTCTTAATAATGAGGAAGGCCATTTTTTGTTGTTTTCCCTTCTACCCCTCCATTTCTTTGACAGTTTTTATTCAGAATTATTGATCTGTCTACTGATTTGGTTGAATAATTGTGTGGGAGGTTGGGGAACTGAAGCAGAAATGTCCTTTTGATAAAAGCAATGTTCTGTCTTAGGAGGGCTTTTCTCTCTGTAAATGGTGTTAAATAGAAACAAAAAAAGAACACAACAAATCGTTTCACTAAACCCACTGTCCTCTCAAGTTTCTCTCCCTGTTTTCCATATTCCCCAAGTTCTCCTAACAGTCCTTAGCAGACTTGATACTTTAGCGTAGCGGTAACTGGGGCTTTCTTTTTGTATAGAAAATAGGAGAGTGTTAACATTATACTGGGTGTGCAGCTCAGCAAGATATTTTTGTACATTTTATGTGGCATAGTCAAAAGCAATGCCATTTGTAAAATCCATGGGAGATCAAAAATACGTGTAATGGCAGTTCATGTGAAGTTAAAAATAAAAACCAGAATTTTTTTTCTTTTTTTGAAGCCACTTAGTTACAAAATATAGTTTGCTTTGAAGATATTAACTAAGCTGCATGACCCAACTCTCTCTTAACAGTTTATTTGGATTGCATAAGAAGGTCATCAATATGGTACACAATTTACTGTCCAGTCACGACTCAGATCCGCGGTACGCTGACCCACAGGTAAAGGCCCGGGTGGCAATGCTGTATCTACCTCTGATTGGCGTGATCATGGAAACCGTGCCTCAGCTTTATGACTTTACAGGTATTTTATATTCTGTGCTTTGAATATATGTTCATCTGCTCACAAGACTTGAGTGTTGTTTGGATTCTAAAATTGAACTGCAAAACCCTTGACTGTTGGATGAGGTTGTTTCTATTTCTGAATTATAACTTTGACATGTTTTCGCATCCGTTTCCTAAACTGCACTTGCAAAATGTATCTTCAATGACTGTTAACACTCAAAAGCTGCATTTGCCCACTTGTTTGCAGGAAGCAAAGAACTAACAATGCATTTTAGCTAACATCTGGCTGGCTGCTGTATATGCATAGCCAGCCTCCATCTATGTCTCTGACCTGCTTAAAAGGTCGCCCCGAATACTGCACTGTAGCAATTCCAAAGGATAAACAGAGTTCCTCTTCCTCCTCTTAGTAAGTGCTCTGTCAGCAGCTCGTTTCAGGGATGCTTTGCAAAGTGTCTTGAAGAGCAGCAGAGGTGGGTTATATCAAATCAGGGCAGGGAGTCCAGTCTGGAATAGTTTGGGATTTGGAGTAGTCTTCTACATCCTTTGAGTTTAATGACACAACAAAGCTGCAAGTAAGGATTTGGAGTGAAGTATTCAAAGGGACAAAAGGTCTATTTTCAGAAAGGTTCTGGATACTAGGGTTGTCTAGGTTGCATTTGAAAATTGTTGTTTTATTTGTTTTGCATGACCTCAAATAATAGTCCTGTTTACTTGCAGGACCCCACGAGCGTGATGATTTTCAGTTTGCATTCCCAGACAGTTCAATGAAACTAGCACTGTGAAGGGAGGCTGGGGAGAGCAGCTTTGAATTTGGGGATTGATTAGATGCACATGTTTCTTGGCAGAGAGTCACAATCAGCGAGGGAGGCCAAGCTGCGTCGCTGTTGATGATTACGAAAGCGAGGGTGGAAGCATGATAAGCCAGACAGTTGCCATGGCCATCGCAGGAACATCGGTCCCTCAGCTCACCCGGCCCAGCAGTTTCCTACTCACCTCATCGGTACAAAGCCATCTCTCCCTATTCCTTGACCCTCAATCTGTGTCAACAAGCAAATATTTACGCATGCAGGTCCTGTGGGGCTGATCAGTGAGTGGTAGGGACTCATATCAGTTTGCAGCTGGGGGTTACACAGGGAGGCAGAGGATGAAAGACAAGGGGGAGCAAATCACGTTTGCATGTTGTTGTGCCTGTCTCAGAGAGGGTATAATAAAATGCCAAGCAGGGATAAAAATCAACAAACCTCAGAAAATGGAAGAACTCTTTTTTCTGATAAAGATTCTCTTTTTCTGAAACAATCTGATAAAAGCTCTGTGAAGTGCAATGGTCATTATGAGCTCTAAGCCCTAGGCAAAAATTCCTACCACATCTAAATCCCACCTAGTTGAAGACATAAATGGGCCATTTCCCCTGTTCTCTGCACAGGCAGGGAATCCTCCTGATTCCAGTAGCAGGTAGGCTCTTCCATTTCTCTCTCCTTCTCCCTTTACTCCTGCCACAGGACCCCATTTTGCTGGGTTTTATGTGCACTCAAAGGGAGACACAGGTACATACATGAGATAATGAATGGAGCCCCTCTGCTTAACTGTTAACCTGCTGGAGGTTATTAAAGGCATCTTGAGGGAAGTGGGTATTTGCTGCCTGAACAGAAACTCATTCCTTTAATGTGATTATTTTGGTGCAAACTGCTGCTTCACTCTTGTGGCTTGACTATCTGTGGGCTCCACTGAGCTGTGGGGTTGAGAAAGAGAAATGTGTATCTCCTGGTTGTTAGTAAAAGATGTTTATTCACCTCCTGTTCCTATTTGGTAATTATTTAGGCTGGGGTGGTAGCTGGTGCAGATCCTTTTGGTGAAGATTGAAGTGTTTGGATGTGAAATACAGTGTGGCAAATGTCTTGACCTGTCTGTTTTAGAGTGGCAGGCAGCACTCCACCTTCTCAACAGAGTCCAGCCGCAGCCTTCTGATCTGTCTCTTGTGGGTGCTCAAGAACGCAGATGAAAGTGTCTTGCAGAAATGGTTCACAGACCTGTCAGTGTTGCAGCTCAATCGCCTGCTGGATTTGCTTTATCTTTGTGTATCCTGCTTTGAATACAAGGTACTGCTATATTGTTTAAACCTGAAGTTCCTCCTAGGGCTTGCTGAGGAACTTTACACTCCCATCCTTTACACGACTCCAGAAAGGCATTTCCTGCTCTCTCCAAAGTATTTCCTGTATTCAAGATCCCAAGGCTAAGCGCTTCTGTGTGCAATGTCTAGCCTTTTTCCATGTTTAGTTTTCAGCCATGCAAGTGTCTGTGCCTTGTTTCACTTCTTACGCAGTTTATGCTGCTTGCCACTCATCTGGGAACTGCTGCAGGGAAAGGGGATAGCTCTTGGCCATTTTGCTTACTATCAACAAGAAGAGAGTTTTCTGTAGTGGTGCTGGAGTCTGGGTAGATTATTTCACTAGCAACTAAACCTGTATTCCTTTCTTGACGTATGTCTTTAGACAGGAAAGATATTTTGAGTTGTTAATGCTTAGAAAATATCCCCGATTGAAAGAATCTTCCCTCATGGTCTCATTTGAAACTTGCAGGGCAAGAAAGTGTTTGAAAGAATGAACAGTCTGACATTCAAGAAGTCAAAAGACATGAGAGCCAAACTTGAAGAAGCTATTTTGGGAAGCATAGGGGCAAGGCAGGAAATGGTCCGAAGAAGCAGAGGACAGCTAGGTAAGTAAAGAAGTCTTCTGTGCTGTCACCTTTTTCCAAAACTGCCACTCCAATCCCCAAAAATTACTTGCACCCATCTGTGGTGTGACATGCTACCCATGAAGATCTTCAGACAAAGGGGCTCCTAGAAAAAGCTGTTCACAGTTTGCAGCTTGCTTCACGGAGTTGGCAAAATCTCTACACTTTTCCTAAGTTCCATCTGCAGGCAGTTTATTTGTTACTTGATTACATCTTTCACAGCCACCTTCTAGTATGTCCTGTGCAAGGATCAGAGTGGAAAACAAACTGCCTGATCTTGCTTTGATAGCTCTGAAAATGCCTGGATATTTCTGCTAATTTAATGAGACTTGAAATAGCCAGTAGGTAGGGTAACAAGCACCTCGTGATGATTTTTGCTGTTTATGTTGTCTGGGAAGAAGGATGGCCCAGGGATTAGGACAAGAATCAGAACTGGGTTTGGTCACCTACTGTGCTGTGGGCGTCCTGGTACATGTGAGCCAGTTATTGTGGACTGAGTTGCATAATTATTTTAGAGGCCCAATTAATTGATCATTTCAGAGAGATGGGGACCTTTGTATTTTTTTTCTTAATCTGGCTTGATTGCCTTTATTACTTGAAATTCCTCTGCCCTCCCAGCAGTGAGAATAAAGACATAAAAGACTGTGAGGAGGGTAAGGAGGTCTCAGCACCATCCTGAGAATTGTGCTGGTTGAGGACAGCAATATCAGACTGCTGAGGATTGCCATACCTAGGCTCCTTATGTAGTCCAAGGAAGGTGTTTCTCTTAGCAGCCCTGGTAGCTACCTCCCTGATTTGAGTATCTCAGCTACACAGTGGTCTGGTTTGCTTACTGCTCTCATGGAGGAAAACTGCTGCAAGTGAAGTTGCCTGTCATGCCACTCAGCAGTGACAGAATTAGGGGCCACGTAAACATCTTGGGTAAGTTCCACAGCCTTGGGCTCTTAAGAAGTCATTGTTTGCTGTCACCTCTCACTCGTGAACAAACCTAGAGTTGCTACCCATGAGAAAAAAAAAAAATTGCATTAGATGACTGCTATTGTTTTAATATTATCCTGCAGAGAGAAGTCCTTCTGGGAGCGCATTTGGAAGTCAAGAGAATTTGAGATGGAGAAAGGATATGACTCACTGGCGTCAGAACACAGAAAAGCTTGACAAGTAACTCTGCCTTATCCTTCTACGTTAACAATGTGACAGTGCCTGTGAGAACGCAGGGCCTCTCTCCCCATAGAAGGTCAATGGCAGCGGTCCACTTAGCTCTTGTGTGAGCAGGTTTGGGCCCTCAGTTGGAACAGGGCTGGCAGTGTGCAAATAGCTTTCAGTCCAACACTGCCCTATCTGACTCTGCTTTTCCACTGTCCCTTGCTTTCTTAGATTTTAAAATGAGATTTAAAGAGACTGATACAATCCATTACCTTCTTAAAACCCTGTAGTAAGCTGTAATTTAGAGAGAAGATCCATTAACGGTATTCACAGATAGCATATATATCTCACGTCATATTTCCTTTATTCCATAAGAGCATTCTGGAGTTGTCAAAGCTCGCTTTCCTTTCCTGTCCTAATCCATCACTTTGATTGTTTTTCCACATGTGCTGTGCTTTTAGAAGCCACAAACCAGCCAGGTACTGTAGCATTGGTGTGCAGTTCTTATAAATTGCCATTTTGTACATCTGCAGACTCAATCATCACAGCATTGTTTGTGATGCTTGGCAGAAGTTTTCAGTGTGTGTGTGCAACTGGTTGGAATGAGCTCTTCTTGCTTATTACACCCGTTTCCTTTAAAATTCCCTCTCTTGGTGTGGTTTAATCTGGAGGGCTCAGGACTTGTGTTTGAGCTTTGCTGTGCACGCTTTTTGTTTCCTCAAATTGCAACCTGGAGTCTCCATCCTTCCAGCAAGAGAATTGTTCCTAATCTTAGGAAATCAATCTCATCCCAAGTGAAGCTCTGAAGAAGCTGGGGAATGGGGTCCTCAGAGCCTGGGTGGAGACAGAGGGCAGGCCAGATTTTACCCTTGAAGACATTGACACTTCCTGGAGTTGAAAGTACATCTTTACAGCTTCTAATTGCTTTGTCCAACCCAAGAATGTCATCTCTTGTTATGTCAGGTAGTGGCTTTTTGTCCAAGACTCCAGTCCCGTTGAGGCATTGGGAAAGCCAAATAACCATTGTGTTTCAACCTGCTCATGAAGTGATGTAGGTATAGATTTTACCTCGGCACAACTCCAGAGCTGTGGACAAAGTTAAACCAGATTAAAATTTGGCCTGAAGAACTCATCAGTTCACTGCCAGCACTGGGTCTGAGCCCTCTCCTCTTCCCAGGAGGACCTTACATACATGTTAAACAGCTGTGGAATACCTTGATGGTCGAAGGATGGTATCTCACCCCACAAAATAATCTGCTTAGATAACTCCACATATTAGACTATCTAATTCTACATATCTACACATAGGAGATAACTCTACTGCTTTTTAACCCATACTTGCTTACTGTGAGCTGGGTCCATCGCACTGCCCTCCTATGGCACTGCAAGTGTGTCCTGCATGCATAGGTAGAGTCTGGCCCTTTGAAACCTAGTAAGCAAGACTTTTCACACGGAGAATTGTGCACAGCTCACTGCAGGTGGTGTATTTTATGCAGATGGTATTACTTTTCATAGGGCCAGGCCCCAAGGTTTCATATTCTGGAGCCTGAAGAGTAGGTAATGAGTGTATGACCCAGCTCCCAGAGGAAGCAGAGTGTGGCAGGGGAATGTTGCTGCAATACAGGTCCCAGCGCCGAGTCAGCTGCTGTCCCTTTTGTTGTGTATTTTGCTTGGATTTTGTCAGTTCCCATGGGTCACACTGCTGCTGTGATTGGGCCTGGCATGAGTCCGTCAGAGACGGCGCCTGTAGTAGGACAGGCCGTTGTTGGGCTCTTTAAATACAGTGCTGGATGTTTGCCAAACGCAGCTTGTGCTACTGAAAATAGGTGGGTGCTGCTGAATTCCTGGGGCCACCGGTGTGACTGGGTGTATGAACGTTGTAAGCCTTTCCAGGAAAGTGAGTGCTTGGCATGGAACAGCAGAACAGCGTAGTTTGTCTTGGGGAGGAAGATACTCTTCAAGAACTGTAATAGAGTGTAGCTTAAACGGACAAAGATTGCACCCTCACAGCACACACTCTGTGCTACAAGCGGTCTGGCTGCTGGGGACAACAGTGCAGATATACTAGCTCGTGTAGCACCACCTTGTGTCCATAGCCCGTGACATAAAACCATACGTTCTGGTCCTGGTTGTGCTGTTGCATGCCTAATGATGCTACTAAACCAGTTTTGAGTTGGACTTTGGTTCTAAACTGTTGTTGTTTTCCTGGGAGAGTAACGAAGTGTCAGAAAGTAGTGTGATCTCCCCTGAGCATGATGAACGTAAATCCTGTGTAAGTTTGTATATGTAAAAAACCCAAGTCTTTCTTCTTGTCCTCTTAATGGATGCATTGAAATATCCTTGTAGTGTTGTCCAGTAATAAATATACGCGTTGTGACTGGGGTTTTTCTGCTAATGTGAAACTATTTTGACTGGAAAATAGGTAGGTCTGCTTCTTAAACAGAGAGTAATTGTATTGCTTTCTTTTCTCTGATTAGATCAAGGGCAGAGATAGAACATGAGGCACTTATTGATGGAAATCTTGCAACGGAAGCAAATCTGATTATTTTGGATACGCTAGAGATAGTTGTACAGGTAAGGATGATAATAGAGAAGTAATAGCATTATGATCCCCTGGCCAGGCAGCAGTTTGTTAACCAAAACCTTCCTGCTGCTCTTAACTGCCCGAATACTGTCAGAACTGTTCAGTTCCCCTGCTGCAGGGGGAAGGGTGGTAATGCCTCTCCTAATCCTCAGCCTGTAACAGTCTCGTTTTACATTGCAATAGCTTCCTTCAGCCTTCTTGAAAGTTGTTCCTTTTTTGTAGTATAAGAAGTGGTTGTTCACAAACTTGGTAATGAACTCTAAAAAAATTCCGTGTCCTGCCCTATTCTGACTCCTCTAGTTCTTCCCAAATCTGCCGCAAGTCATTAGGTTCCAGGTCAGCCTCCTGTATCTGTACTTACTTTGCACGGTGCAGGAAAGCTTCCAGGCTCCTTGATCTGTGTGCACAGCCCAGCTATTTTCTCACTCCCCACGGGTGAGCGAGGACACACGGCAGTTTTGTCCCCTGCTTTCTGTACAAATGAAACCTGGGCACGGGCTGCAAGCAGGCAGTAGCAGGCTTACCAGATCTGCCTCTGAGCTGCAGAGAGACGCGGGAGTCCCAAGGGTTGCACCTGAATAATCCACCAGACTGTACCTCTCGTAGAACAAGGTCCCCAAAGGTCAGAGCCTCATCGGGTAGAAAGCATCATCATTCCACCGGCTTTAGCGCGTGGGTCAGGTTTCATTACCTGGGGGTGGTTGATTCAGTGATGTGACTGTTTTGCAGGCCCGGCTAAGTGGATAATTTCTCCATGCCAAAGGGCTTTTCAACAGAGTTACTCTCTGTCACACAGACACAAACACACACGGGAGGTTAATTTTTGCTCATGCAACTCTTGGTTTACTTTTGACTGCAGACTGTTTCTGTGACGGAGTCCAAAGAGAGTATCCTCGGTGGGGTGCTGAAAGTGCTTCTGCACAGCATGGCCTGCAACCAAAGTGCACTTTATCTCCAACACTGCTTCGCCACACAGAGGGCTTTGGTTTCAAAGGTGAATTCTCTGCGGGTGCTATAATATATCCTGAGCAGCATTGATGGAGAATGGGACTGTTTTCTTTCTTTGCATCGGGGTCACTTCACCAAGCGTTTATTATTTTGTGCAGTATTGATTTTCAGGAAGCGTGGTCTGGGGGTTGATAAAATCTGACTGGTTTTCATGATCAGTACCTGCATTTATGCACCTTGGGTTTGATGGCTGCACGCAAAGGTACAGTTCACGTAGCCCAAGTGTGGTGTGGGTTCCTGCTGGCTGGTGGTAAGTGGGCAGAGGCACCTAGACAGTAGGGAGCACAAAGCACGGGTGGAATTTAACCTGTATGACTCTCACTTAAAATGGATTTGTTTTACTGGGCCCATAATTTATAATTTCCCAGTTTCTCTAGGTGTACTGGGAAAAGCTCAAAGTTTTAAGCCTGAGTTTTTGGAACGGATGCAAATCGGTCTAAGGGTGTAGAAGTAGGAGCAAGTTGAGGGAGTAGGTAAAATGAGTTGCCTTCCCATGCTGCCAGTGGAAGTCTGCTTTTGCCTTACTGTACAACTGAAGTGATTCAAATTAGCATAATTCCCCTCAAAACAGAGGGGATTGGATTTCTTCTAATGCCAGATGCTCATTGCTGAGGATTGCCTTGGCCTTTTTGTCTGAGTGCTGGTTCCTGTCTGTCCAAGCACTAATTTTCTCATGTGCTGTTTTTCCAGTTCCCTGAGCTGCTGTTTGAAGAAGAGACTGAACAGTGTGCAGATCTGTGCCTGAGGCTCCTGAGACACTGTAGCAGCAGTATCAGCACGATACGGTCGCATGCGAGTGCCTCTCTTTACCTTCTGATGAGGCAAAACTTTGAGATTGGGAATGTGAGTAGCTTGCTGCACTGCATTAGGTTATTATTACATGTAAACTGGTGGGGACTGCTGGGCGGAGCAGTGTGTATTCCTGCGGGAGAAAGGCTGTCGCAGGGCTTACCGTCAAAATGAGCATGACATCCAAAGGGAAGAGAGGCACACAGAAGTGACAGGACTTTGCCTAGCTCCTGATCTTGCAGTACCTCACACTGCTGGTCAGTGCCCAGAAGGAATGGCCAGTGTCAGAGTCCCAGCTGTAGGCCCAGAGTCTCTGCAGGCAAGCTGCCTCTCATGTTGGTTTACAGAGGGATGCAGAGCCCTGCCTGGAGCATCCACTGCAGGAGTTTCCAAACCTGTCAGTTTTGAAGGTTTGCATACTCTTCAGATTGGACAGTTTGCACTTGCGGGACTGTTTGGAGGAGCTCCCCTTTGCCTTGCTTTCCCACATCTCCAGGTGAGAGCAGAAACAGCCACACAGCCCTTTCCGTGGCACAGCTGGTATGTGTGTCCTTTCTGAAAGGGCTGTGTTAGTGGAGTTAGCAATGCTAGAATTCTGTTTTCTTCACGTCTTGCCTCTACATCTTAGCTTGACGCACCCATGTACACTTTAAATTGTGAAAAAAATTCCCAGCCTTCACTCTTCCAGTTAGTATTTTGCAGGCATACATGTAGCTGTGTATCACAAAGTGCTCCTCCAGACTTCTTTGTTTGCGCTGCTTTAGTTACAGCCCCCCACGCTAAGTAGCAGAACTGGAGGGACCCACTGGTTCTGGGCGCAGGGACTGTTAGTGGATTGATAGCAGCAAGTCAACAGTGACTCCAGTCTTTAGGCTAGACCAAACCAAAAGCAAGTGTCTAGAATGAAGGCTGTATTCACGAGGGAGTTGAGCATCATCCTGTTCAGGGTGCTTGAGAGGAGAGCCAGGAGAAGGAGAGAAAACTAAAACTTGTGCAGCATAACCTTCACTTGAACTAAATAATGCTGTCATCAGATTACAAAGTCAGCAGCACCAGGGTTTTATTGTAACCACTGCTCTGTGACAGCCCTTTTCACAAAACTTGTGTTTTCTTTTTTGTATCGGGTGTCTGTCAGGAGGAGTCAGGTGCCATGACCGGAGCACTGATGTTGCAGCAGACTGTTGTAGTATCTCCAGGGTGTTGAAATACAATAACAATTTCTCTGTTGCAGAACTTTGCCAGAGTGAAAATGCAGGTGACCATGTCTCTCTCATCCCTGGTGGGGACGTCCCAGAACTTCAATGAGGAATTTTTGCGACGTTCTCTGAAGACTATTTTGACATATGCTGAAGAAGATCTGGAACTTAGGGAGACAACATTTCCTGATCAGGTAAAAGAAATACCCCAAAAGATGTAGTGTGTGGTTCATTAACAGGCTGTTCTTAAACCTTCATCTATAGCTGGAATCTGCATGTGTTCTGTGAAGGAGGTACATATTTTTTTTTATCACCGAAGTACATAAAACTCAGGTTCTTGATTAATTAGCATACCAAGGTGCAAACACACAAAGGTTCAGAGTGACTGTGGTCCAAACATAGCGGTATGTAGCTCAAATTCCATTGCCAATTCATTACAGTAGTATATTTTTTACAGGTCCAGGATCTAGTGTTCAACCTCCATATGATCCTCTCTGACACAGTTAAAATGAAGGAGCACCAAGAAGATCCAGAAATGCTGATTGACCTGATGTACAGGTAGAGTTTATAACCGTTGCACTGCAGGGACAGTAGATGTCAGTGCTCCACATGGTGTTTGAACAAAACTTTGTACCTACTGCACTTCCCGTGTTTAGAGTGTGAGGTATTTTATCGCTGTGAACTTTGATTATTTGTTTTTTATTAGCAATTACTTTACTACAACCTTAAACCTCTTTTACACTGCTTACCATGATTCACATTTCACCTGAAACCAACACAGCTACTTGCTGTTTGGTTTTGGACTCAGATGTTGCACATTTGAGCCCTTACAGAGCTTGTTTTTGGAGCAGTTCCAGGTCTTAGTGCTCATGGACCAATATGTACCTGTCTGTTTTGTTTGAATGTGGTGTTGATAGGTTTTGTTTGGCATTTATGTAGCTTACCTTTGATAAAAGTAGTTTCCATTCCCCAGCAGTCTCTGCCAATCTCATTCTCCACCTGACTAAAGACAACTCTCCCTGCTTATATCAGGAAAAATTTAAGGATCTTCCAGGACCTGTTTGCACAAAAGGCTTTTTGGTGGTGGTACATTTAATGGTCTTCCTATACAAAAGATATTCCAGAGCCATATTAAGATCCCAACTACCAAAATGCATGGTGTTGTCTGCACAAATGGTCCTGAAGGCTTCTTGGAAGGCAGCAGAGATTTTGTCATAAGCAACCAGGCAGGTCTGCTCTGATTGTCTCACATCTTTGGCTTACCACCAGTATCCACGTGAAATATGAGCTTTGTTCAAGAGCTTCAGCCGTCCCATGTAAAAGCGTTCTGCTCTCAGGGGGTAACTGCAGTTGCTTGCCTGCCACTAGCTGGCTCAGAAGTCTATAAAGTAATTTAGGGTAACTTTCCATCTATATAGCTCCTTATTTCATGTATTTCTAGATAGCCTGGCACTGAGTGTGGTTGTTATTTAAGCAGAACTAACTAAATACTAATTACGGATGTTTTCTTTTCAATTAGAATTGCAAAGGGCTATCAGAATTCCCCTGACCTGCGCCTGACATGGCTGCAGAACATGGCTGGAAAGCACTCCGAGAGGAGCAATCACGCCGAATCAGCCCAGTGCCTGGTCCACTCTGCAGCCTTGGTGGCTGAATATCTAAGCATGCTGGAAGACCGAAAATACCTCCCTGTAGGGTGTGTTACATTTCAGGTAGGAATCATCCTCCTTAATGGATTTTGGGTTTTGTCATCTGCTGCTGATACACCGAGTATCTCCATGTGCCAGGTATTACTGTGCCTACGTACTCATACTGCACTTACTCTGTTTTGGGGAGAATGCATTACAGCAACTTCTGAAAATCTTTATCATGCTTGAAGGCTGTCTTTGTTCCCCTGAGTCTTTACATCCGCAGTACCAAGTGAATCCAGTTCTTTTTATTTCTCCATTTAAGTTATGGGTTTTTACCCTCTTTGATCTAACCATTTTGTGGTGGGTGCAGTTGATGAAAGTGGTTCCTGTGACTAGTAATGTTAAGCAGGACAATACTGAGTAGAGCAAACAAGCACATACTTAGCTTTGAATGTGTAGGTGGTCCAGTCCAGTTAGTTTAAGCATGTACTGTGTTTGTTCAGAAGGAAATTAAGCAAAATGCATGTGAAAGCTGCCTCTTCAAAAATTTTAGGATTTGATTGAGAATCATCTGGCTTTCAAAGTGTTGAGAGTTTTGAATGCTGTTTAAATTGAGTAAAAATATTTTATCTACGTTATATCTTCTTAGAACATATCTTCTAATGTTTTGGAAGAATCAGCAGTTTCTGATGATGTTGTATCACCAGATGAAGAAGGTATCTGTTCTGGAAAGTATTTTACAGAAGCTGGTCTGGTGGGATTGCTGGAACAGGCTGCAGCATCTTTCTCCATGGTAGAAGACTTTAATTTCTTTACCTATCTTCTTCAGCGATCTTATACTGCTGGGCAATATGAAGGAAAATGTTTTCTCTATGTATAACTCTATTGTAACAACTTAATTTGCATGGAGCTTTGGGAGTTTTAGTTGTTCAAGACAGCTCGGTTTGCCCTCTGGACTAAACTGCAAAGAACAGGATCTGGGACCAAGAGGCCTTTGTGTGTTTCCAGTGTCTTTCACTTCAACACTGCACGTTCGGGAGTTCGCAACAGTAAAGAAAGGCTGTAGTGTTCTTCCTCCTCTTCAGAAAGAGTGGGCCGAGAGCTTTATGTGAGCGGTGTTAATGAGCTGGTGGTAGTATATCCATCAGAAACCAAGGAAAGCAAGTGTATTATTTCCCACAACACAATACAAACCAGTATTCAGTGGGTTTAAGTACAAACCGCAATAACTCCAGAGCGAAGACCTAGAACCCCTGCTGCGGCTGGCTAAGCCATGCGATGCAGCGTCTCTGCCCGCGGTCGGCTGGATCCCGTTGGAGACATCCTGAGGAAACTTCACAAAGACCATCTCATGGAGTGCCAAAAGTTGGATGTAGAAGTCACTTAGGTTGAAGATGCACTAAATAGAGCGAGCTGTACTGGGCCCTTAAGCTTCCATATTTCATTCCCATAGATTTGGTTAGGATCCTATTTAGCTTGTGGTGCTCTTGTGCATACATCCATCCAAAATAGCCCAGTTTTGATTCTGTTAATAATCTCATATATTAGTAGCAACGAGTAATGCAGTAGGCTCTTGATTCCAAAGGTGACTGGGGATTTTATTCCATTCGTGTATGGGTATATTTTAAGAAAAGATGCTGATTACATCACAGTGACACCTTTTCATTTTGCAGTTTTATAATTTAAATGCTGATAGTATGTATCATTCTCACTGTTGAATTGCTGGAGTGATCTGATGGACCTTATTTTTGTAGGCTGGCATGTATGAAGCAGTTAATGAGGTTTACAAAGTCCTAATTCCTATTCATGAAGCTAATAGAGATGCCAAGAAGCTATCCGCTATTCATGGTAAACTCCAAGAAGCATTCAGCAAGATCGTTCACCAGGTAATGATTTGAATTTTCAGCTGCAGTGTGAAGAAACTTCAAATGCTCAATGCAAATAAAAACTACCTATTAAGGAAAAAAAATTTTAATCAGATTACACGAGAATTGTCAGATGGTGGTCCACAGTAAATGCAAGGATCACTAACAGGATTTTTTCTCTCTGGACATTTAACATGGGAAACATGAGAGAACATCCCATACCGAGTTTCACTGTAACTTCAGAAATATCCACAAGTTAAAAATTCCAATCATCTGTCAGTTTTTCCTTTCAGATATTGTTTTAAACTATATTTTGCATGCTACATTTCTGGGAAAAACACTGTATCTTGCCTTTAGCGTGATCGGCAACATTCAGAAATGTTGGGGTTTTATTTGTCTGTTCATATGGTGGATAAATTATTGAAGGAACCTTTCTAAACTTAGATGGTGCAAAACCCACCAGCTTAGGTGCTGAGCAGTTGATGAGAAACATCAAAAGTTATCAACCCTCACAAAGGTCAACCAACCTCAGCTAAGCAGGAGGCACGAGCACTTAACACGTGCTTCTTGAGAGCTGCTATCTTCTAGGAGAGGCTCGTTGGGTGCATGCCTTTCCATCAGGGCAGGCAAGCCCTTGGCAGACCCTCCTCCAGTACGTGCCGGTGCTACTCTAAGCCCCTCCACCCCAACCAGCTTTCTGGCCATGGGCTGCTGGGTACATTGTTTGTCTCTTGGTGTAGTTACCCCTATGCTGCCATCAACTGCTCAGTAGATGTTGATCAGTGCATCGATTTCATAGGATCCAGCTGAGAGTCTGGTGGTTTTCTCGGTGTTTTGGCATTGCCAGATTCCTGAGGTTAAGAGTACAGATAGAGGACAATCATTTGAGTGTCCTTCTAGGCCACAGAAGGCTGTTTTGGATGCATGATGACTTATAATCATTGAAACCATTTCAGGTTTATGATACCTTACATTGATGGTCATGTTTTGGCCTTTGAAACTTTTTTTTGGTTTCTGTGACATGCGCTTTTTACTTTTTATTACACAGAGTACTGGCTGGGAGGTAGGTAACTCCATTTTAGTTAGTAAAGAACACTAATAGATTTTTCAGATGACTCACGCCAATGCTTGCCCACATGTGCTAGTTGTGGGTATTTCTGTTGCTGTCTGCTGTTAAAACAATTCATTAACCAAAGAAATACCAATAAACCGATTGTGGTTGTAGTAGGAAATTCTTCATAAGAAGCTGTAGGTAGTGCATGGATGCTGATGTGTTCCACTAATGAGGTTCTTTGGTGAATGAGCCACTGTATCATCACTAGTTTGTTTTTATAATTTGTTTATATTTCTTTTCATCAGCATTGACACAGAATATCATCCCTTCATACCATATTTTCACCCCACCCACAGGGGTCGATTTAAGCAATAATGCTCAGAGGTACTGAAACACAAAACCGGTCTACTGCAATGTGCAGAGCACATCTCAGAATAGACTGCTTCATTCTGTTCATTTAAGAACAATCAATTTGTTATGTGGCTGTTTATCTGGCAGTAAAATAGTTTGGTTGTGTTAACTGGAGTCAGTTTTGCTGCTTTCATTTTTGTAGAGGCTGTTTGCTCACATTTCTACAACACACACCATGAGAACCAGACATTTGGATTAAAAATAGACAAAGCAGTCTGCTTCATCCACAGCTGCACACCGCACAGCGAGTTTGATAACTCGGGCCCTAGTCCAGTCGACACAGTGGGTACATGAGCGTTGAGAAGTCTCAGAAGACATTTAAAATGTTTTGTGGATATGATGTGACGTTATTTGCTTAGTCTTCAGCTGTCCAGTTAATCTCTGCTTTTCTGTGAATCAGGCAACTCAGTATGGGCCATCTCACTCCATGTTTCCACCACAGGAGAGCATTTAAGCCCACAGTTCCCAAACCAGGGCCAAGAACGAAGTTCTTGTGCATTGTGCGACACAAATAATTTGGGCTGATAATGTCTGAATGTCATTTTTAATTCTGGCCTAGCATGAAATGAAATTCAATAGCTTAAAAGTAACCCCTGACACTTAACGGCTGGCCCTGTAAATCGTTTGCTTGTTCCTGTGGGAAGTCCCAGCAGACGAGGCAGCACAGCAATCCGGAGTACACGTTGTAGGAGTGTAAATGGTCTGTGTTCAATAGCCAGCAAACGTGAAGACCTGTGAGCATCTACTTTGATTAGTCTGCCCCTAAATCGACCCCTGAAGAAAATTCTGTCATTGGTTATGAATCTAACATCACTCAGTCATGTTTTACTGCATGGTAAAAGACACCCATGGTTTCTGTTCTCGTCTGTCATCGTGCTCCTTCATTGCCACACTTTCTCTGATCTTTGTGCTTTGTAGCTTTCAGATTTGTTGCATGTTTTGCCCTTTTTCCTTATTTTAAATACTTTAATTGATGCTTACCCTTTTTTATTTTAAAGTTTATTTGCTGCCAATTTGCTGCTTGTTTGTTTTTTGGAATTTCCCTAATTAAATACTTTCTGTTTTCTCCTCTATCGCCCTGGTTGCTGACCCTCCTCCCCACTCTTACTATTGTCTGTTGTGGTAAGTTCCTACTTGTGGAATTTTTTTCCCCCCCTTTCTCCCTTTTTTCCCCTCCCGTTTCATTTTTTGTTTTACACTGTGGAACCCCCAGTTTCATTTTACCAAAGAGCTATGCCAACAGCAGGACCCCCCTTCATGTCACAAGGAAAGCAGTATTGCCAACTACAAGCACTGAAGCATCCTGAGTCTGGCACCAATGCATTTCTGAGACCTGCTTAAACATACCAAGTGGTGGGTTTTTCTGTTTGTGTGTTGGTTCATTGAATAAATGTCAAATTAATTCTTTTTGTTTACTTTCCAGTTAGGAAAGTTGTTAGGAAAAATCTTTTCATGCTATGCCATGAGAATTCAAAACTGCTTTTTAAAGTATGCAGGGTGAGGTTGCCATCAAATAGCAGGACTCCAGGAGCTGGTACTTTCAAAAAATCAATATTGGAAGACTTGTCATAGTTGGCAACACTGCAAAGGACCCTGGGTTAAAATTGAGCAAGAAAATAAAAATGCTCAGTTTGGTAAAGGTGGTTGGATTTCGCATTCTGCACCGTGTGTATGAAGGAGTTACTTGTATTCCTACATACTTGGGGCTGACTCTGCCTTCAGGCAGCTGCTGCTGTGTTGGTCTTGGTGAAGAAAGCATATAACCACTCTTGCGTCTGATTTTTCAAATATTGTTGGCAAAGCTTTTTGTCTGCGTGCAAGAGATAACTCTAAAACTTTATTCCCAGCAATTTTGAAAGGTATTTACCATGCATAATAACAAATCATAAACCTTCATAAATCATGATGGCTGTTATCTGCTCTGCCAGTTCTGTAATGGCTATTCAGTGTTCACCTTCATTCTCTTCTCCTCCCAAAGACCTATTATTTTTCATAAAATAATAGGAGATAAAATGCTTTTAATAATTTCTCCCTCATATCTGCATTTTTAGCTCTTTTCAGAAACAAGACCATGGAGTATTTTTAAGTTATTTCTTTTGTTTTTAGTACTGTGATTAGATAGACTTTGGTATTGGCTAAATTTCAATTAAAAGATCCTAGTACAGAGCCGTCCCGTGTTCTTAACGCCAGGCAAGAAACTGAGCTCTCCTAATCTCAGGGGGCTGGCAGCTACTGAATGTCTGTGTGAGGCAAGGGAGAGCCCGTAGGTGTTTGCTCTCCTGGAGGAGTGTGTTTGCAGCCCCTTGCTTCCAGGTACAGACCCCCGACAGGAATCACACGCGTTTCGTGGCTGATGGATCCAGGGCTTTGTGGGGAGATGTTTCTGTCGCAGTAGGGGCTAACCAGCGCTCCTCGCTGCCAGCTTTTCTCCCCGGGACCCTTATGATAACTGAGTTTCAGCGACTGGATTTGTCAGGAGAAGCCAGAGCAGCTGGTCTTCATGACGATGAACAAGTTTATAAGCTGGGAGCTGCCTTCACATGGGGGCACTGAATCTCACCAGGCTTCCCTGCTGCTACTGCTCCTGGGACTTCCCAATGCCCCATTACTCTTATTTTATGCATTTAGTAAATGCCACCAGAACTCCTTATTCATTGATGCTGATCAACAGACAGCATTTTCTTCCTCACTCACCGTTATTTTTACAGCAACATAAATGCACACTGCCTGTAACGAATAGTTGTCTGGGCAGATGTCCACATGGCAGATGCTTTGTGGGGACCAGGTTCTGCAAACACTTCATAGCCTGGAAGTCACTCGTCAAGTAGGTAGGAAAAAACACCTGAGCTAGAAGAGCAGCAGTGTGCCCTCCATCAGTGGGGTCTGCCCTGCACCCATGGGTTGGAGCAGGATCCCACCGACTTCCACGTGGAGCGTGCCCAGGCCCCGTATGAGGTTTGGGGAGATGTTTTGTATGGCAGTTCCCCTTGGGCAGACATGATGCTACCTTGGGAAATGCTTTGAGAAAGGAGCCCTGCAATCAGAGTCTTCTGCCTATAACGCTGAGATTGAATTGAAGAAAATAGCATAGGAAGCTGGGAATGCTGGGCATTGAGGGATTTCAGCGTGGGTAATATTGTCCGTGTTGTGCTTCTGGGGGTGGCTGTGGTGTGGCGAAACCCCGTAGTCCGCGCTGGCAGTGGAGCTGGATGGAGGCCCCTCTCTGGAGGAGGGGTGCTTGAAGGGATGGGCTAGAGCAGGCGTCCGAGGAGCCGCCCGCGACACGTTAAGCAACTCTCGGTGCAGCTCCTTGTTTTCTTAAATTGGAGCGTGTGTCTACGCTCTCGCCAAAGCAGAGACAATGAATTTGTATCTGTTGATGTCCCATAGTGAAGCCAAGATGTGGCCTGTGTGTATTAAGCAAGACTTCTGCTGCCTCTGGTCACTTCAGGCTTCACTTCCACTTCAGAGCTGGGCATCGGTGAGCTTCGCCCTCCTGAAGGCGCTTGGGGCGGGCAGCAGCCCTCGCCCCGAAAAGGCGACGCCGCGTCCTCCTGGCTGCGCCTCGGGCGAGAGGAGCCAGAGCCGTGCCCGGGCAGCCCCGGTATGACGCCCCAGAGTTTCCTCCAGGCCAAGAGAAGGTGGTGGCTTGCCGGGACGGTGCTTTTACCAGTCTCTGGAGTTTACCTGAGCGTGGGTTTTTTTATTTTAGTTTGGCTTATTTATCCTCTTTGCCTTCCATAGATCATGTTCACCATCACCACAAGAGATCAGTTTTTGCCATAGCAAAATACTAACAAAAAAAATCATACATGGCAGCCAAGACATCTGTAAGTGCTTTTGAAACCAAACACTAGCCCAGATTCAGAAACATTGAGCGTTATATACTACATCACACTTTCTCACGAGAGTAAAGGTGAACATTTCAGAGTTTCTTGCTGAAAGGCATTTCTGGTTTGTGCATGCAGCGTGAGATTTTTTTTAACAAAATCAAAGGTGTGATTAATTTTTAAAGCGTTTTTCTTCTCTCTCTCCTAATCAGATTTTCTTCGTTACTTTTCCAGCAAAAATCTTTCTTGTTTCTCTACTTTCGTTGCACTTCTGGGCCAAATTCACCACTGGCTCAAATGGAAGCAGGTACATGATACAGTGGATTGCATCTGCTTTCACCAGGAGTGACTTTGGCCCTTTGTACTAGACATTAGTTACTAGAAGAGAACGTAACACCTTCCAGTTGACATGCTAAAAAGCACTTGCGTGTGTGTGTGAGTGAACTGGACATGGACTTCGGCCCAATCCTGCAATTACTTGAGAGTGGATTAGGGAGGCTCTGGTGTGGGTGATTCTCAGGGGTGTCTGTGTGCGATATCCTCGCTGCGTGCCGCACGATGTCAGCGACTGGACTTCCCCGCGCCTGTGCCTACAGGCTGCGGACCAGGCTAAGGGGTGTCTGCACAGGGTTTGGAGAGCCTGAAGTAATTACCCAAACGAAGGGACTTGCCTTTGACTGTTCCTCAGAGACATCCGACACCTCCAGACTCCTCCTGGGGTGGGAAAAGTCGTTGCAGGGTTGGGCTAATGGTCCTAACTGATCCATGTAATTTTATGTTAGTTTATCATTTCATTGCGGTGTTTGCTTCTAAGTGCATTCTTGCTGAGTTCCAGATGTGTTTTTCTTTCCCTTCTTTCTTTCTTTCTTTCTTTTTCTCCTTGTTTTTTAATTTCTTTTTTCTTTTGCATAAATTCAGGAGCCTGCCTGCAGCTATGCTTGGGGCTATATGCATGTCTCCACACTGAAATAACCTTTTGTTTCTCCAAACCTAGGATGGAAAGAGGATGTTTGGCACCTACTTCCGAGTTGGTTTTTATGGGACTAAATTTGGAGACCTGGATGAGCAAGAGTTTGTTTACAAGGAACCCGCGATAACAAAGTTAGCTGAAATTTCCCATAGGCTCGAGGTGAGATGATTGTGGCTGACCTCAAATACTGTCTGTGAGTTGCAGTTTAGCTCTTTTTTAACTATCAGTTATTTAAGAGCTGCGTCGCCAAATTACAGGAGGTGGCGGAAATTAAAATAGTTGGGCAAACCCAGCACTGTGCCTCTTGGAGCCTAATGCAAGGCTGAGCTTAGAGAAACTATCACTTGGCAAAACAGTTTCCAGAATCCCATGCGGTGACCCAGAGCTGGGCCTGATGTCTCCTGTCCTCTTGCCCGTGCCATCTCTGCAGGAGGCAGGAAAAGGGCAGGGAGAGGAGTCCAACAAGTTTTCCCTGATCTTGCTCCGAGAGCTTCAGATCTGCTAAGATAATTCAAGAGTTTGGGGTGGATCATGCTGTGTTTGTGTCTCTCTTCAGCCGCCTGGTGTAAATGGGATGACCTGAGCTTGAAAAAAGGTTGAGATGCCTTTCAGGATCTGACTGTCAGAAAGTATTGCATTTTGCTGTCATTTTTTGCCTTCACATCATTTTCCTCTCTCTTAGAGATTGAACCCTCTTCAGGTGGCTGAATTTCAGAGCCCCTGAAGCGGGACATGACAAGTCTGAAGTTTGTTTCAGCCGTGAACAAGCAAAGGCAGCTCCGATTAATCTAACTGGGGCTTGGGTGCAGCTGCAGGTACCACGCAGTGATGATCTGTACCATGTAATAGTTAGTCTGGCCTGGGTTTGTGCCAACTAACCTGTGTCTAGATAATGTCACAGAATCACAGAATCATTACGGTTGGAAAAGACCTTTAAGACCATCAAGTCCAACCATCAACCCAACACCACCACGCCCACTAAACCATGTCCTGAAGTGCCACATCCACATGTTTTTTGAACACCTCCAGTGATGGTGACTCCACCACCTCCCTGGGCAGCCTGTTCCACTGTTTGAACACTTCTCAGGAAAGAAATTTTTCCTAATACCTAGTCTAAAGATACACCTGTCTGTGTCTTAGCACAGTTTGAGAGACAGCATGGGTCAGAGACTGTTCCCAGTAAGCACCGTGGGCAGACGACGCCATCCCCAGTGGGAAAGGAAGAGCATTTAACAGCATGGCTCTGGGCAGACCTGGCCCTCTGTTAGTTGCTAGAATAGATCTGATGTCACATTGTTGCTCACAACAATTCAGCTGCTGTCACGTTGCGCTGAAAGCAGCAGCGTTGTTTGAGGTTTAAGCGCATGAAACTGAGTTCAGAGTCCGGCCGTTCGCCCAGCCCAGCAAAACCGTGCTCTGCTGCGGCACCTGATTTCCAGGCAGATCCCGTATTGACCCCAGTTTTCAGTTGAGCTCACAGACACACAGTGAGCTCAAATGGCTTGTTCAGAACCACGCAGCGTGTGCGCGCGTAGTTGGAAGGCTCCCGAGTTCTCCTGCCTTCCAGGGCGTTAGGCTTGTTTTTTCCTGTTGCCCCTGGAACGCGACTGATCTAATTCTCCTAGGTTCAGACCTGGCACGGCTACTGTTGAAGGCATGTGGAGTTTCACCTCCCCTGAAAATGCCTTTGTCTCTCCAACCCCCATCTCTGACGGCTGCATTTGATGGTTTCTTTCAATGCTTTTGCTCTTGATTGTAGGGCTTTTACGGAGAACGGTTTGGTGAAGATGTGCTTGAAGTGATTAAGGACTCAAACCCTGTGGACAAATGTAAACTAGATCCTAACAAGGTAAGAACACAAGTACAGGTTTCGAGGTAGAACTGGCCCTGAATGTGTGCAAAAGCAACGGAACAAATCCTGCTCTGAATTCCACCAAGCAGGCAATGAAATCCATGTCCAGAGCATCTTGTGGCTGCTGGGGATGAGAGTTGGGGAAAACCCTCCGCGCAGAATTAGCCGTTCCGTTCCCCGCCCCAGGCCCTGCCCTGGCAGTGGTTGGTGGGAAGGGAGGGGACGGAAGGACGGCGGAGGCCCAGGCTGCGTTGGCCCTTCTCTGCGGTCTCCGCTGAGCGGAAGGCGGGGAGTTTGCCATTCACTGGCCGCTGGCTTTTTTGCAGCTGCAGCATTTTGTCATTCTTGTGCCCCGTCCTTCAAGCGTAGCAGAGGTAACAGGGCCATGCCTAGGAAGCAGGACTGTGGCTTAGGGCAGGGCATTATCTGCAAGGGAAGGAAGGAAACGCTTTGCGTGAGAGGAGCGGGGCAGTGTGCCGCATTTTATCCAGGCCAGAAACTCCTGGGCAGCTACCAGCACCCCTAGTCCCTGTCAAGGGGACTGTGATTTTTCTGGGTAAAGGAAAAAACAGTCCTAGTTCTTCCAGAGGAAAGAAAGCAAACTGGGTTATTGCACTGCTAAAAAGCAGGGCGTAGGAGTCGGCTCTCCGCTGGCGCCGTACCTCACCGTGCACACCTGGTTCCCTCCTGCAGGCCTACATTCAGATAACCTACGTGGAGCCCTACTTCGACACGTACGAGATGAAGGACAGGATAACTTACTTCGACAAAAACTACAACTTGCGGCGTTTCATGTACTGCACGCCCTTCACGCTGGACGGCCGAGCTCACGGGGAGCTGCATGAGCAGTTCAAGCGCAAAACGATCCTGACGACGTCCCACGCTTTCCCTTACATTAAAACCAGGATAAACGTCATCCACAAAGAGGAGGTGAGGCCTGCGCTCTCAGGGGCTTCCTGTGTTTGAAGGGGAATGTTATCCGTGACTAAGGGAAGCGGATGCTGCCGAAACTCTTGCATAATGTACTATTGTATGTGAGGTTTGATAGCATGGCACGTCCCTTCGCACCGTCACATTAACACAGATGCTCCCTCCTGGCCATCACTAGCCTACCTTTCCCCGCTCCGCTAAAGACGCAGGAATTCAGCAGAGAGCGAGAGCACACAGCGCCGTCGTGAGCTGCCCTGGCTGTCCACTGCAGGGGCTGAGCATGAGACCCCTTTATTTTGATTTTAAGAATGCCTTGTTTCTATCGAACTTTTTCCTGTTCCTATTCAACCTAAACTAAACCCAGACCGCTTCAGAAATGCGGTATGTCCTGCCGTCTCTGTCACCAGAGTATCCAGCTCACAGCAGCTGGTGTACGCAGGGGCCCGTGGCGAGCTTTGTAGTAATGCAGGTTGTTCCCTTCTATTCTGCTTGAACAACGTGTCCTGTTGCTGTGTGTTACAGCTCACTTGCATGGCCTCAACGGACCCAGGCCACTGGAGTCCTGAGGCCTTATAGAGAGGTTTATCCCAAAGCTGTGTTAATTTTTGGGTAGGTAGGAACTGATGTGGTGCCTGGCGCACAATGAAAAACGCATTTTCATGCAAGGCGGGGGACCTGCGGATGTTTAGGCGCTGACATAGTGCTGTAACCGTGGGTAGTTGGTTGCAGTGAGCACAAAGGGACATGAGTCTGCCTCCTCAGAAGCAATCTGAGAAAGCTCTTGAGTACCCAGATGTAGAAACACATGTAAAAATCAAACTTTTTCTTGATATTCCTAAACTAAGACTAAGAGGATGCATTTCTAAAGTGCTTCTGTCCAGACTGTCAGTCCTGTTGGTGTCTTCCACCACTTCAGTATGCCACCCCAAAGTGACCTTGGTGTTTCTGAAAGTATGTGTCTGGTTGACAATCTCAGCCATAACGAGCGTCCTCTATTCTGGCTACTTGCTTAGATCATTTTGACGCCTATTGAAGTTGCCATAGAGGACATGCAGAAGAAAACACAGGAATTAGCTTTTGCAACCCACCAAGACCCTGCGGACCCAAAGATGCTGCAGATGGTGCTGCAAGGATCAGTAGGTACCACCGTAAATCAGGTGAGGATCGCTGTCCAAGTTGGAGACACTGGGGTAGTGCCTGTGGCTCAGTGTTGGGCCTTATTTCTAAATTACCATGGGTCTTTTCCCCTGTCCAGTCTGTGGGATGTCTTTAAGGTCACTGGTGGGTCTAGACCAGCTGCTCTCAGCAACTTTGCCATTTGAGTAAGAGTCCTGAAAATGCGGTTAGATCTGGAAAGTGGCTGAGAAGAGACAGCCCTCCTCCCCCAGTTACCTGCTCCTTCCTGGCATTCAGTTGTTTCTGCCTGCTTCTCCTTCTCCCTTACACACACACACAAAAAAAAAGTTTTATTACTTTCCCTTTGGTTAGCCAGGCTGTGGTGGGTGGAAGTAGGATTGTGTCCTGCAGTGGTTTTTGAACAAAATGGAAAGCAAAGCTAGTGAATGGAGAAAAATTGAGGAAAAACTGAGGGAGTATGAGCAAACATCTACTAATGCACAAACTGGAAAAAAATCAGCTGGAGTTTCAAGTTCTGGGTTGAGTTTGCAGAGCTGGCAAACACTTCCTTGGTTCCATCTGCATTGTTTAAACTTTGTCTTAGTTGTGAGTTGAGCAAACTTTGTTAAAAGTCTCTGTAAGAGAAAACAAATGTAGAATCTGTGCATTTTCTCACAGTGTTTTCCAAAAGCAGAGTTTTATTTAAAAAAAAAAAAGCAACTGAAAGAGATTCAGTTGTCATGATGTTTGGTGATTTATGCCAGATTTACCAGCTGCAATTCTTCAAGATGCACTCTGTAAGGAAATGTTGCATTTTACAAATGTTTCTGTGTGCAAGAAGTTTCTCCAGCAATTGGATATGACACATGGTTCCAAGAAACTTACTTTTTGTCTTCTGCTCCTAAAGGGACCATTAGAAGTTGCACAAGTTTTCTTGTCTGAAATACCCAATGACCCAAAGCTCTTCAGACATCATAACAAACTACGGCTCTGTTTCAAAGACTTCACGAAAAGGTATGGAGTGTTGTCTTCAAACTGCCTGACAGATGCAGTTATTGCTACCACACCAGACAGGAACATGTGCAGTAACACAGGGGTATCGGGAGAGAGGAGTATTCGTGTTGTAACTCCGTCTGTCCAGTTCCCATATGCAGCTGTATTCCTCAGCTGCTCAGCTGGTTCTCTGTTTCTCTGGTGCTGCAAGTCCATGACTTAAGTCAGATCAAGTGGCTGAGGTCATTTGGCTTTGCTCTTTGTCGGGAATGAATTAATGATCACAGTTCAGTTGTGAACAAGTGTTCCTGTTTCAGAAAACACAAGTAGCCACACTCGCACAAACCAACTCACAGCTTGGCAGGGTCAGGAGAAACTGCTGAATTGGCCAGGAGATTTAATTTCCTTCTGAAGTGAATTTCTCCAAACAGAGTGGAAGCATGCTGTCAGGATTCTCTCAAGAAATGTGCTGGCTGCTCTGCTTTCCTCTTGAGTAATGCAAACTCTAGTCTCCGTCCAGCATCATTTGCAAACACCAAGTAATTAAAAAAAAAAAAGGAAATAAAAATGTTCCATACAAACAGATCCAATGGCAGTGTAATTTTCCCATGTGTAATAAGTGGCATTGATGATACAGTTCTTTTCATACCCTTTGTTAAAATTACAACTTTCCAAGTAGAAGAGTTCCTGATGAACATCTGCTAGTCTGCTATTTATTAATCTTTCCTGGGGAGAGCCGTAGATCTGCCCATCTTTAAATTCTCTTGGACTGGAAGTGGCTATGTGGAGATCAGCTTTTCATTTCTCTTCGGGGAGGATAAACGTAACTGGAGAGTAAATTAAAATTAAACAGGAGTTGCCACTCTGGAAGTGAAATGGAAATTAGAAATATGACAAGCTCTCCTTTCCCCATAGACACCAACTGGTTTAGCTGAGCCTTTATTACCCAAAAGACAAGATAGAGGATATTATGTGTCATCCCAAAGGAACAGAATTTTTTTTTTTGTACTAATAGATTAACAAGTCTCTAGCAAGCAGGTCCTTTTTTATGTGCCCAAGTTTCACAGGGCTGTGTTTTCTAGATGCGAAGATGCTCTGCGCAAGAACAAGAGCCTGATCGGTCCGGACCAAAAGGAGTATCAGCGAGAACTTGAAAGGAATTACCACCGGTTAAAGGAAGCTCTACAACCTTTGATAAATCGAAAGATCCCACAGTTGTATAAGGCAGTGCTGCCGGTCACTTGCCACAGGTGGATATTTGATTTTACTCTTTCAGCAGAGATAAGGAGGGTGTAAAACTGGGGTGCCTGATCTTCCTGGTGAACCTGTGACATCTATTTCTTTTCAATTTATGGCTCTTTTAGCTAAGTCCATGCCTTTTCCCTTCTGTCCTGCCCTCAGAGCACATCCCCTTCCCAGCAGTTATGGTAGGTGGTGTTTGCAACGGTTCCTTTTTTTCCTGAATCAATGAGAATTTTTTTTTTTTCATCCTGCATCCCATTCTTTTTAGATTCAAAACCAGTCGTAGTGTGGCAGGACTTGGGCACTTGTTTGTTCCCAGTGGAACTGGGATGAGGAGCTTCAGGGGCAGACAGGGTGGAAAAACAGTTGGGGTCTTCCGTGCTGGAAGACAGGTCAGCTGGAGTCTGGGCTTGACTGAGTTGGCAATGAGACTGAACGTAAAAGCCCCGCTGGGAATGCATGAAGCAGGTCAGAGCCCGTAGCACTGTAACCTGCCGGCACCGCGGCTGAGCAGGGCACTTCGGGTGCGTAAAGCTGCCAACAAGGCTCTGGCTCCCAGAACAGGAGCAGGACCGTTTCCCAGCAGGTGCCCTCCCCGTAATCTTTGGGTTGCCAACTCCTGCTGTGTCCCCCGTCAGCAAGGCAGGCTAACGCCATCCAGCAAGACTGCCCCGGCATCGTGGCCTCACAGCAGTGACTGGCGTGGGGGGTATTTTTTTGGAAAGAGCATCGCTGGCACTGAGCAGGGCAGTGACGGTGCCTTTAACAACAGACCCTTCAGGAGACGTGTGTGAATGTGGACTTCAGCTCATGTCCGTGCCCTTGGTTTAGGAGAATACAGCCCTGGTTTTGAACCTCGCCTTATCTAAGTGTTTAGAGGTGAAGAGCAAGGGGGAACATAAATAATGTTGTGAAAAAGAGAAACTCGGCAAAATTCCATAATTAAAAGAGCGAGACTTAGTGCTGGATGAAGAAGGAAACGAGTGTCCCTGGCTCACACGGCGGTGCTCAGCGATGTGTCTGTGGCTGAATTTGATGGATTTTTCTGTCAGCTGAATACTGCGGAAAGGTGGCCTTTCCTCATTACCCGGGTTCATGACTTTTTAAGCTCTCCCCAGATCACATACCGTGTCCTAGCTATCCTCTGCTGGAGTCGGTTTTCACTGGCTGGGGTTGGGTGGGGTGGGAGGAACAGTGCTTCCCTCCCCACCCAAGGGGAAACCTCACAAGCACTTTTGTCGTGATAATTATTTTCTAATCTTGTGAAATTCAGCCTGTGCAGGGAATCTGATACAGGTATTCCAGGCAAATTCCACTTAGAGATTTATTTGGTAGACTGAAATAAGATTTCAGTAGCGCGGGTGGTTTATGCTGCTTCTCTGCACGTGAATTGAACTTTCCGTCAGCTTTCACGTCAGTAAACCTTGGGCGGTTATATGATCCCAGCTACAGACCCAAACCCAATTCATCTGCAAAGCATGTTAATGAGTTAATGTCAGTGGCCTTAATTTTTCTAGTAGCCAGCTGTAGAAAATACTGGAAATCGTCATTCATCTGACGAGACTTCTTATTTCATCATGGAAAATATGAGCTCATCATTGTATTTTCTCTCCCTCAGAGACTCCTTCAGCAGGATGAGCCTTCGCAAAATGGATATCTAAACGAGTTAAAAACCAAAATAAAAAAGCACTTAAAATTAAGGTTTTGAAAAGAAAGAGCCTTGTTATCAGCGCTGGGAATCAAAGAAGTTTTATTGTGAAATAAAACTTGGACTTCATCCTGGACATCCCACACACCTCTTCCTCCATCAAAGTGTTCAGTGGCCAAAAATCATTCTGAATTGTCAAATGTAGACTTATCAATGTTTGAAAAAAATCATGACAGTGGTATCCAGAGTATTGGTGATAAGCTGTAAACTTACCTGTTTTTTAAGGCATTTTTATGACTCAAAGGTACACTAAACGCATTTACCTTTATTTATAGCATTACCTAATGTTAAATTTATTTACTTTTAGTTCATATATTTAATTTATATTAGGACCATACGCAAATGCATTTTTGAAGTTTTTAATGTAGTGATGATGGTTATTTTGATGGTACTATTAAATATGTGAATGTTTACACTTTAATTCCCTGTGCATTGGACTTCAGAGCTCGCCATCCTTGGGGAAAAAAGTTCAGAGCAAGGTAAGTCTCACAGTAATGTTTCTTAACCAAGTGGTGATTTTTTTTTTTTACTGTCCCTATCCTTTCTCCTTTGTAACTCTGAATACAAATTGCTGCAAACAAAAATAATTCTATCTGTAGCCAGCAGAAGAATTGAGGCACATCTTGTTACCACTTTACCCCCTTCGGTACCAGTGAAGGGGAGTTTCCGTGTGACGGCCGTGTGTACGTGGTCGTTTCCACCAGTTCAGAAGGCCAAACAGCACAGTAATCTCATCATGACTTTAAATTACAGTTCAGCTTAGCAGTGTACATGCAACTGGACTGCTTTTCTGTGCCCCTTTTTCAATGCAAAAACTTACGGTGAAGAAAAATGGAAAGCGGTGTCACAGTTTAACTTAAAAGCTTACATAGAAAGCATTTGTTGCATTGCTGTTTATGTAAAGAAAAACATCTCCTTTACTGCAGTTATTTTGGTGGCTAACACAGCGCTTTGAGGAAGCATCAGAATTGGAGCTGAGTACACAAGTCCTAAATCTAGCCCTTTATATTTTCCCTCTCTGTATTGAACAGGGTTCCTTGGAAGAGGTGGTATGTGATGAAACAGAAGCTTATTCTCTCTCTATAAATACCTAAATACGTATACATATATACGTGTGTATATATATAAAAAAACAAATTTTATAAACGTACTTGTTATATATATAAAAATATAAGAAAAAATTTGGTTTTCTACATGAGCTTTTAAGATAGCAAACAAAACAACTATACATCATGACTTCCCATTTGTGAGTATTTGACTTCTGAAAGCTAAATGGTTTTTACCTTCACTTCTAACAAACAGACACATTCCTGTATGTTAGAAGGCTTTGGGGGAGTGTTTCGGTGGGGTTCACCCCCTTCTGTTGTAGCACCCTTCTGCAGCAGCAGGGAGGGTTGAGGGTGGGGATGGTCGGTTTTATTCTCGATACTTACTGAGGTTATTAGTGGCTGGCTGTCGGCGTGCCGGCAGCAGGACGGGGCTTCTCTCACTGCTGCGCAGGGCTGGAAAGGCACCGACCGCGGCTCGGAGCCACCATGGAGCTCTTCTCAGCGTGCCGGTCGCTGACCGTTCCCCTTGAACATAAGTAATCCCGGACGAGTTCTGTGTTACGGGTTATACCACAGGAAAGCCTGCATGGAACTTCTTGCATGAAGAAAAACTACTTTTTTTTTTTTTCTTTTCTTTCTTCTGAGACATTTCATAAGCCTATTGCAAAGCCCAGGGGTGTTGACAAGGCTTTGGAAGCTGTGTGGGAGTCATGGACTCTCATAACAGAAAATATTAAGGAAGGAGGGAGTAGCTTTGCCGGAGATTTATATGAAGAGGCTTGCAAAATATTTACAAAGCCATAAGAGAATGAAACCTTAATTTACAGTAGTCCTTGTATATTGTTTCTTCAGCTAGAAAAGCAGCTATTTTAATCCAAATCTTGCATAAATAGCCTTTGATTTTACGGGATAGCTCCATGTCAGTGTAAATCTGACTGGCTTCTCCGTACCTGTAGCTCGGCAGTTGTGTAAAACTCGAGTGTAACGTGATGGAAAGCCAAGAGTGGGCAGCCACGTTGTGTCCTCCATTGCAGCAAACTACAGGCCCTGTGCAGTCCAGGACATTAGCTACTGTGGCAAGTTACTCAGGAAAGGTGGCAAGGCCTTTACTTGAGTAAATCTCAAAAAACCCCACCCTCTACCCTTGATCCATGTGCCAGAGGAGTGTGTTTCACTCAGCATGTTCCAGCTGATTGTGTTTTCTGTTCAGCTGCCTACAACAGACGTTTCTCTCGAGCTGTATAGTGTGATGGAAGACAGATTGGTCTTCCTCCCATTACACTGCAGCCAATACTTTGTTGGCTAGAAGGGTATTTTTTTTCCCTGGAACATTTCCTCTTCCTGCAGTTGAATGAAAAAGCTAAGTCAGTCAAGTCCTGGGACAAGTGTGGAAAAATAAACTTTCATTTTCAGGCTGAAACTCAGCAAATCCCATACTGCAGGCAGTAAAAAAGAGCATTCTGTAATGTGATTTGGCTACCCTTCCAAGGTAAGATTACAGTTATTTTTTGGTGATTTTTTTTTTAAATGATGTAGGTTATTTCTTGGTTTAGACTATGGAATTATTTATTATGGTGACAATGCTTTGGAAAAGGGAAAGGTCTTAGTGAATTTGTAATTCCAGATTTTTCTCTGTAGAAGACATCTGTACAGACATCTACTCAGCATGAGTTGTAAGCAACTCTAGTCCAGCCTTTCTTACACTGTTTTCTATTGACAGCAACTTTCTAGACTGAAACATATTTTAGCAATACATCATCATCTAGGATATACTCGAAAAATCAGAGGTCCACTATAACATGGAAAATATATTTTTCATTAGTTACCTCAGTGTTTATGCTACATTATAATGAAAGATTGTAAAAAAGCTAGAGCATTGCAGAACAAACTAGGTAGTTTTCTAGGGCTTTTCCTGTAAATAAATTAATTTGTATTTGAAAAAGTTTAAATATATCCAGAAAACTAGGGCGTACTCACATCTTGTGTATCTTTGTCTCTCTCCGCAGAAGCATTTCATGTCATTCCATCCATCCTACGACAGCAGAAGTAAACACTCATCCTATTTTGTGATGATCATATATTTAAGAAGATTTCAATTGTCTGCAGTTTATAGGATTCACCTTAACATTTTAACATCTAAGAGATGATTTGGGATTTTAATTCCTAGTATTTAGTGCCAAACACTTGACTTGTTTTTACAATAATCTGTTTCCCTTTCCCCTTGCCTGCGCCCCGAACCTCTAGTCATCAAGTGCCTTCAAATTAGGATACGCTGTACAAGAAATAGTTAAAGAACAGAGAATGTTACCTTTTAAAGCACTTTAAATCTTCCGTTTCTCTAAGATGGATAGTTTCCCAATCTTCTGGTAGCAGTGCCCAACCACTTTCCCTTTCCCTCTCCAAACACAAAAGTCTGATCTCGTCATCTCAGATGCATATCATAAAAGTTTTTATTTCATATATACATTCTTAACAAAGCAAAGCCAAATGCTTTCATTTTCTCACATTTCAGTGAGCTCCAAGTACAAATTAACTGTTATAAGATCACCACTAAGTAAGTTCCAGATCCACCCAAACAGATATGCATATTAGAGGGCTTTACTCTTAAAAGTACAAAATTATTTTAATTACACTACACACTCCCCCTGTTTTGAAGTATTAATCACACCTATTTACACTTTGCCCACTTAACACCTATGCAACAAGATGCAAATTCAACTATTCAAATACTTCTCTTAAGTTCAGTTCCTTCTGACACACTAAACAAGGTTACGAGACCCTTTTCTTGTGCTTTGAGTTGCACCAAGCAGTAGAGAACTGGATAAGGAGAATAAACCACGTCGATTACCCAAAGACTAAATATGAAGTATTACTTCCCAAGTTACAAAAATACACAACTTCTGATGAAATTTGCTAGTTAATATACATTTACTCCAGAATATGAATACAAATAACTTTTATTAAAAAAAAAAGCTAATAATACAATAGGCATGTCTGAGACCTAGAGTTGTGTTAAAACCACTACCGTGTACTGTAGGCATCATTTAGGAACTATACAAATTGGTGTTTCTAAAAGGTAATATCGCTATTCTCCAGCATAAAAGTCGTTATTATGTGAGTTAAGTTCTATGTCATGGTTTGTTAATTCAAGTTGAGCCACTTACACCAAACGAAAAAGACCAGAAACATTATGATCCAGTAGCTTCAAAAACAAACAGCTGTTTCTTCCAGGTAGTTTTGATGCAAATCAGACCAAGAGGTGTATGCAAATCCCTAATATTTACAGTCAAAATACAGAATCACTCTACAATCTTCTTATAAAACAGTAGGTAAGGAGTTGATGTAGATGACGATGTCGGAGAAAGAGAATTCAGAAAGTCCTTTTCTTCCGTAACCTTCACTTCGGAATCATCAAAAAGCAACCACTTCCCTTCATACTCTTTCAGGCTCTGCAGTACATACAGAGCTTTGTTTTCTAGTCCACTGGAAGCAACACCATTTTGCTCGCTGTGCTCCGTGCTGCACTCCGCGCTTCCATTAGTGCTGCTAGACTCAGGATTTCTGTTTTCAGTAACTACGTTAAGAAACTTCTCGGTGTTAGCTGGTTTGTTGTTGTACAGGTCACAGTCAGACCTGCTCTTCTGCCCCCCAAGAAGTCCAACAGCTTCCATGTTCTTTTTGTTCAGAACTTTACCTGGCTGTGCGTTTCCATTGACTCTAAAAGAGACTTCACCGTCGTCATAGTCTTCAGCAACAGTTCTTGCCTCCTCCTCATTCAGTGGTTCTGGTTTAATCATTTCGTACATTTGGTCAGTGATGAAGTTTCCCTTGTCTAACTCTAGGCTATTAAGATCTGTAATTTTGACAGAAGCTGTGTAGTGTCCACTGCTAATCGTAATGCCGCTGTGCATTACCACTGCAAATAATCCGTAGGTGTCGTTGGTCGGCTTTGTGCTCCATTCTTCCAGTGACAGTTTGAGAGGTGTCAGTAAGGGAGTGTTTATCTTGGATAGTCCACCATAGCAATCAAACCTTTAGAAGAAAAATGAAGTTAGACGTCTTGCCACAAGGGCTCACAATAAACACTGCTTTAAGTGCCCCATATATTGTTTCTATATTCTTTTCCTGCTATTAAAAAGACACGACCGAGCTGAACGTGAGAAGTTGCTCACTTTTCGACTGGCTTATCATAAGCATCTGTCCTAGGCCACCCCTGTTCTGTATAGACTTTTTTATGAGTATGTATAATGTTAAATCTTGCCGCCTAGTAACTCTGTATTTTACCTATTTAAGAAACTCCCTTCTTCTGAAGTGTTGGCTAAAGTTAAGTTTTAAATAATAGTGACGATAAAAGGAGTTATCCTAATTATTC